ATTCACACAATTAACACAGGATCAAATGTAAACAAAATAATGTCGGCCTGCACTGCCATATTGAATCACGTGATTTGGATTGCCTAACAAAATAACATAAACATAACCTATCACAATATTCACAAATTTGAACTCGCCTTTTTCGGGATCGAAAACCAAATGAAGGTTTCTATCATGTATCATAGATGGCGTCATATACGGAATGGTATTACAGTGCAAATGGTATTACAACAGTGACTAAGTAAGCTTTATCTACAGTGGCGACAATAGAGCTCCCCCGCCATTTTGTGCCCTACTTCTTGCTACTTTTAAATATGAATATACACATAGGATTTAAATGGACATCCATCATAAAAAAATTAAAAACAACGTATTTGATGTACCTCATAATAGTCCTCAAATACGTTGTATTCAATGTATATTTCGTTTTTCATATGAATATATGAAACTTTGAAGAACCAATCAAAGATAAGACAGCAATTGAAGACTCTGGTGCAAGAAGGGGATAAGTGCATAAATCTGCAAAAGTGAGATAGTTGCATATGTAGGTTTAAAAAGTTGCTCTTCTTGCCTGATGCAAGTTTGGGATACGTACGCTTAACAGATACTGAATTATGATAGCAAACCACATATCCCCTGGTAGGGTCTGGTGTAATAATGGGATAAGATTTGTGTAACATATCCCGTTCTTGCACCAAATTTAGTATTATTTTTATATGTGGGAAATTTTGTCCCATTAATGCACCAACTATTTTGTTTGCATGATCAGGTAAGGTATGTGTGCATACGACCTCAGTCAGGTAGTCACCAAAAAACCGTTGGACCAGAGACAGCTTTCTGGACAGTAAAAATAAGTTAACCTGGTACCTAAGTAAGGGTGCGGTTCATTAAAATATTGCGTTATTTTTTATTATTTGAAATATAGGACATTATTATGAGCTCAGGCTGTAAGGAGAATGAACCATTTCAAAGTTCCGGCAGTGAGTTCCTGCCTTCAAGTTTTAGCAGAGGTAGAAGTTGATTAAAATGTCACAGGACACTAATATCTCTGGTGATTTTGAGTCTGATTGATTGATAACACTATTTTTATTTCTTTAAAACTATGTATTTTTGATGATAGTTGGCTATTCTCATGAGAAACATTTGACTTTATGTTAAAATTATTAGCATATTACTTCAGTTTATATTCATCTGAGGTTGATACACATTGAATAATAATTACTTTTTTGCTGAAAATAGTTTAAATGCAACTTATCCCCTTCTTGCACTTGCTGTAAATTACATTATAAAAAGTTTTAAACTTATCCCATTATTGCACCACAACTTTTTTTTGCTTAATAGCTTTCTTATTTGGCTGTCAAATGCTGTTTAAATCATTCATATATAGCTGTTGTACTAGTTTGGCCATACTTCATGATCAACATAAAATTCAATTTTGAAATAAAAACTTTTTTCGCTTCTCCTGAAAAATTTACATATTGTTACTTATCCCCTTCTTGCATCAGGGTCTTCAATTGTCGCCACTGTGAATGGTATGTAATGGAAGAAAATGACCGCGCAATCTGACGATAGGTGGACCACCCTTTTCACTGGGGGTATAAAAAATAGCTTAAGACCTATTCTCAGACCTACCAAATATACATCTGTAGCAGAGAGGTAAACAATAGTATGTCTATAAATAAAAAAGTTCAGTAAAGAAGAAAACAAGTTGAAATGCTAATTCACTTTAAAATTCGACTTATTTTTATACACGGTACCAAGCTGTTATTATGGTATGCTACTTAACTTATTTAGCAGTTTTGATAACCAATATCATTATTTCAGCCATACTCTCCTGTATCTTGATTTTGGATTTACGACTTTTTACCTCAATTTGAAAAAACAGGTAATCATTAAAATAGAAGTCTTATCTCGAGTCTTATATTGCAAAATCAGTTTTATTGCTTATCGCTAACATGATTAATGAGCACAAAATACCTACTTTAAAAAATGTAATTCTCTTGAAGAAGATGGCCTAGACAAAAAAGATTATGATTTGTACAAGGCAAAATTTATTCGCTGTCTTCTTCATTCTCTAAAAATACTTTAAAAAAATCAGCAGCACGCCGCGCCGTTCCGTGGAGTTACTACTGTTTACCACTAAGAATTTTGATGGTAGGTGAACATTAACAGAATAGTATGTAAAGGACATACTATTCTTTACTCCACTAATACATGGAGTTACTGTCTTTATAAAAACTAAAAATACAGGCAACCAACAAAGCGGGACTCATGATTTTTTACCACAATAACAAATTGAAAGCGGGCACTTTAAAAATGATATTAACTCAATATTGATAAAAAGTAGAGTTACGACTATTTACCTCTCTGCTACAGACATATAAAATTACATAAAAATCGGTAAAGCCGTTTCAGAGGACGAAGGTAACTGAAACTCTGACATGAGAATTTTATATATTAGATAAAACATAAGGCACGATACAAATCAAATAGGAATCAAACTTATAAATAAATATAGTTTAAAAAAACTAAAAAACACGCTTTTATAGTATATTAAACTAAAAAATGAAAAATAATTTTTAATATAAAGAGAAAATATCAATGAACAAAAAATATTAGAATTATTGTGAAAAAAGCGTGGGGTGATTTGTTCCACATTTCTGGTGCGGCACCTGGAGTGTGCGCCCGAAGTACTTTCTGAACGGCACAGAGTATCACACTCACACTAAGTGTGTCATTCCTGAATTCCTGAATTCGCCCCAGAGATTTCCAGACTTTTGCAGACATTATCCAGACTTAATCAGAGCTTTCCAGAGTTTTCCAGGTTTCATCCAGATTTATCCAGCCCTTATCCAGACTTGTAAAGACTGCTCCGAATTCTAGAAAATGATCCCCAGATCTTTTGGAACCTTTTCAGAATTTTTCCGACCTTTTCAAGAAGTTTCCAGGCCTTTTCCAGACGTTTCCAGACTTTTCCAGACATTATCCAGACTTATCCAGAGCTTTCCAGAGTTTTCCTGACTTCATCCAGATTTATCCAGACTTGTTCAGACTGATCCGGATTCTAGAAAATGATCCCCAGGTCTATTGGGACCTTTTCCAGAATTTTTCCGACCCTTTCCAGAAATTTCCAAGTCTTTTCCAGACGTTTCCAGAGATTTCCAGACTTTTACAGAAAATATCCAGACGTATCCAAAGTTTTACACACTTTAACCAGATTTATCCAGACTTTATCCAGACTTGTACAGACTGATCCGGACTCTGGAAAATGATCCCTAGGTCTTTTGGGACCTTTGGCAGAATTTTTCCGACCCTTTCCAGAAATTTACAGGCTTTTTCCAGACGTTTCCAGAGATTTCCAGCCTTTTCCCGACATTTTCCATACTTTTTCAGGCTTTATCCAGACTGCTCAAAGACCTTATCCAGTCCTTTCCTGACCTCCCTGGACTTCTTCCAAACACTTGTCCGACTTGTTCCAGATCACTGCTCACTTGGCTTGTTCCAGGTTCTTGTCTCACTCTACTGCACTGTCTTTCCAGACGAAACTGACTCCTGTGCGATGCGGCAAGCGCTTCAAAGAAATATGCCGACAAAGGTGCCGCAACGCCGCTAAAAAATACGCACAATGTCCGCGAACCGACTCTCAAATTAAATTGCCGCAAAAACTAATCCGGGCCGTTCGATCAGGTGGCCCCGTTTATACGTATAAAAACAGCTGGTTACTGGGAGCGCGGCGTGATCTTTTCCAACGTTTGCTGTGTGTGAGATGGGCTCGGACGGGTAGTCCAGCGAGTTTAGTTTAGTCAGTCGCTTGAATTATTGTCTAGGAAATTTAGGAATAAGAACGACAGAAATTTTTCCGTCGGGATCAAATTATAAAATGATAAGTAATTTGATCTGACGATTGTAATAACTATTGAACTGAAAAAAATTAAAAGGACCGACATATTTTGCGCCAGTGCCACGGCCCCTTGGCCCCTTAGGGCCAGCCGCCACTGCTCTGAGGTATTAACCTTGACTATTTACTGTGTTTCTAACCAAATAATTATAAAGTGCGTTTTTTTTTTAAAGATAAAAGTCAAAATGACATTATGTTGGCAATACAATGTAAAATTGTCAATGCTTTCAAAATTTTTATGTAGAAAAGGGTTGTGTTGCCAACATAGTTACTAAATTTTTGACTTGGGGAATTATCTTTAAAAAAAAAACAGATTTCACAATTGACCTTTTGTTTGGACGCCATATTGCGGTGCGCGAACATAGTTGCCAAAAGTAGAAAAATTAAACTACTAGCGTACTGTCAACATTAAAAACGAAAGTTACTGAATAAATTAGATTTGAATTTGCCGCCTATTACAAATGTTTTTGAAAAGAAAAGCAATTTTAGCTTGTATTGGGCAGATTAGAAATAATAGAATATCTAAGGTTCGTTTCTCGAGAGTTCATACTTTGGTTATCGAACACGTCATAATTTGAAAAAAAAAAAAGATTGTCGTAGATTAAAGCCTAGTACTCATAACTGCGAAATTCGCTTTTTGTTGACATTGGTTAGACAATTTGACGTTTTATGCATAAATCAAACGTCAAATTGTCGAAGCAATGTCAAAAAATAGCGAATTCCGCGGTTATGAGTACTAGGCTTAATTCATATGACAGATTCAATTTTTTTGACAAATTAAAATGAATGACTTCTGGCTTGAGAACCAACGACGGTTTTTGACGCCATTGATTTGTTTCAGTCAATTTCTATTTGTTGAAAAAGGAAGACAAATTTTGTCAAAAGTATGAACCCTCATAAAACAAAGTTTACCTATTTACTTTCATCAATCAGAAAGAGAAAGTAAACAAACAAAAAGGATAGCGAGGATCAATCATTTAGTTACTTTTGTTTTCAATGTTGACAGCCCGCTAGTTATTTTTGTTTACTTCTTTTTGCAACTATGTTCGCGCACCGCAATATGGCGTCCAAACAAAAGGTCAATTACCCTAAAACGCGTGAAGGGTCACAAACAGAATAAAAATAAAATAAAAATACCTGGAAAATACCAGAAACTTTTACACCTGACGTCACACGGTTGTGCTAATAAATGAAAACGCCAGAGACAGTTACATTTGTCTTATTTTTTATTTTTTTTAATGATGTGGTCGAAGTTTTTGAAACCTTATTTCGCAACTTATCGTGATGGTTCCAAATTAATCAAGCAAAATCACTCGACAGCGGTTTGTAATAACTTGTCTGAAACATTCCCTGAAGAACCTTGCGGACCTTGCATAAAAACCCCAATTCCTGGACCTAGGACCAAGCAACTTCTAGAAGACCTCAACAAAATACAACAAGCGAATTCAACATCTATTTTCGTAAACTATGACAAATGCGCTGGAAATTACTTAGTCGACGCAGACGGTAATACTTATCTAGATCTTTACACTAATATTTCGACCATACCGCTTGGCTATAATCATCCAGAATTGCTTCAAGTTTTCAATAAACAACACGAATTGAGAAGTCTTATTAATCGTCCAGCTTTGGGAGTATTTCCTGGAGAAGATTGGCCTGCAAGAATGAAAAATATAATAAATATGATAGCTCCTTACGGTTTAACTCAACTAAATACAATGATGTGCGGGGCATGTGCCAACGAAAATGCTTTCAAACACGCATTTATGGCTTATAGGAGGAAAATGCGTGGAAATGACAATTTCAGCAGAGAAGAAAAAGATACAGCCCTCCTCAACCAAGTCCCTGGTATTCCAAAACTATCTATCATGTCTTTCAAAAACTGCTTCCACGGTAGAACTCTCGGTACCCTTTCTGCAACCAGATCCAAATTCATCCAAAAGATTGATATACCTGCGTTTGATTGGCCTTGTGCGCCATTTCCTCAGTACAGATATCCTTTGGAAGAAAATTGTGAATTTAATATAGAAGAAGACAATAAATGTTTGGCGGAAGTTGAACATTTAATGGATAGGTGGTGTAGGAAAGGAATGCCAGTCGCAGGAATTATTGTTGAACCAATCCAATCTGAAGGAGGCGACAATCACGCTTCTCCATCGTTCTTCAGAAAACTGCAATCGATTGCCAGAAATAACAACGCTGCCTACATATTGGACGAAATCCAAACCGGAGGAGGTCCAACTGGGAAGTTTTGGTGCCACGAATATTTCGACTTGGATTGCCCTCCAGACATTGTTACTTTTAGCAAAAAGTTGCAATTGGGAGGATACTTTTCTACTGAAGACATGAAACCGCAACAGCCATTTAGAACTTTCAACACCTGGATGGGCGATCCAGGAAAAGTAATCATTCTAGAAAAATGTTTGAAGATAATTATGAGGGATAAATTAATTGAAAATGTCTGTTCAACAGGAAAGTACACTTTAGAATGTCTGGAGCAGATTCAAAGCGATTTTTGTCCCACAATTCATTCTGTTAGAGGCCGGGGTACTTTTATAGCATTTACTGCAGAAACGCCAGAAAAAAGGAATGAAATTATCAAAAGGCTGAAGTCAAAAGGTGTATGGTCAGGAGCTTGCGGTAGTGCTAGTATCCGCCTAAGACCCACCCTAATGTTTCAGCAAAAACACGCTGACATATTTTTGGATATTTTAACAAAAGTGATACAAGAGACTAGATGTCCTATACGTAAATCAGGTCCCGAACTATCACCGTGTAATATTGATAAAGATAAATATCGAGTTCCACCACCTGATGCTAGTACTCCTCAGATCAATCTGAAGGATTGTTAAATGAATAGTTTATCCTTTAATTTTTTTTATACATTATTTTATTAAATAATTTTTTTGATAATTAAAAAAAAAGCAAAAAACCAAAAAGTGGATAGTTTCATTGAAAAGGCAAAACATATAAGCCAACCTGAAAGCCTTCCATTTTAAACTGTTCAACTTTTGCATCCTTCGCTGCTGATGGTTCTGAAAAAACTCACCACAACAGTTGGTGAAAAAATCTGCACATACTAAAGTTCTTACCACCGTGAGAACACACGGTTCTAGAAAACTTAGAGCCTAAAACATAGTTTGGTACATAAATTGTCTCATCTGGTTTTAGGCAGTGCTCCACAATAACTATCTCAGAAAACTTATGACAATTCAGAAACAGCAAAAAATCGTCCACTTTATTTGACACAGACCCTATATTTATTAATATTAGCTTGCAAGTTTTTTTTGTCTGGACTGACTTAAAAAGAGTGATTATCACTATCACAATTCCTAGATACTAAGAGACTCAGAGTATTTCTGTTTGACAAAGTCTTCTCTACATAAACTAGATTCTCAAGGGAAGGAGGACTCTAACAAGTACAACTACTGCTATGTATTATACTAATACTATTATTATGAAAATTATTATATTACTACTAATGCTAACCTGTAGATCCGGAGATGATAATAATATACCAACAATGTAGCTTGTTAATTTCCATTGACTGTGTAACTACACTATGGGCAAAATCGTAACACAAGCCCTAGCTAGGGTGTCCGAGATTTTGCTCGGTGTTGTATACTACCAGTCGCCAGTCAGTCGTTTCGTTTGCAAGGCAGAGGTTTGGTTTTCAGTCGATCGGTCGGATGAATCCCAGAGTCGTCTCGGTCTGAAACGTATTGTGAAACTGTTAGGTATGTCTACAAAGAAAATAGAGTGTGCGTATGTTGGATGCAACAATAAAAGAAAAAAGTCAGATAATTTGATGAGCTTTTTTAAATTTCCGGTATCGAAGCCCGTCATCCTTAGTCAATGGGTACAAAACTGTGGCAATGCTGAAATATTTTTAATGGATGAAAATTCTTTGATAAATAGACGTTTGTGTGAAAAACATTTTTATAAACACGATTTGTATTTAAGTGGCGAAAGACAATTACTGAGAAAAAATGCCGTCCCTATATTTTGGAAAGGTAACCTAAAGTTTTATATTTTTGCATTTCATTTTTCCTTTATTAAATTTATATTTTAAGATGCTAAAGCAAAGCACTTCATCAAGCTGTGTAATTAGTACTAAGGACAGGGCCGGCTCCAGACATTTCGGCGCCCCGTGCAAAACATATTTTTGCCGCTCCTCTATACCGATTACTTGCCTAGTTTGTAGTTCTCATCAGGAATTAAGCATAATTCAAGGGTTAAAATTGCAGACACGTACGTTTACCCTAAAGTTAAAGCCAACCTGGAGGTGATTCGCTATTTGAGAAATCGACCAGTGTTGCCAACTCGGTAGAATTTTCACTAGTTCCAGTGGATTTGAAAGTCGTCTAGTCGAATGGTTTCAGGAAATTCCAATATTGTGGTAATTTTAATGGGAATAGAATCCACGGTTTCTAGTGAATTTTTAGTGATACTTCGCTTCCATTAGCCATTAGTTTTCGATTACTTTTTAAAATTTCTAAATAACGTATTTGTATTTGTATAGGATTCCTGTTAATTTACAGAAGATAGCATATTTTCAAGGACACCTACAGGATGGCTGATCGGCCTCTTTTTTGGTAATCGCCGCCATATTTTCACTATTTTGGACGTCATAACTAAGTCGTCAACTGTTTAAACAGCCTACATCAAGCCAAGAAATAACATGCTGCCTACGTCACAAATGGTGATTTGGCGTGGGGGGGATTTGTTACACAGAGGCCTTATGAGATAGGCCATCCTGCAGTAGTAGTATATATCATCCTTGACATATTTTTTTTTTGTGGGCTTCTCATAGGTATGTCAATATTGTCAATGATGCTTTTATGTCAAACTGTCATCATTATCACTTTTAAACTTCAAGTCAAGCAATCCCGGCTTTCATGCTTTTATAAACATGTTGCTGTATCATAAGGCAATTTTTCGCGAGGATAAAATGATATTCAAGCATAATCGAGTATGCTGGGTTATGTGATGTGTAGGATTGCGTCATACTCTCCCAACTCCCTCTCCATCAAAATCTGGGCCTGCGAGTAACGTCACGATCAGCGGCTTAGACTAATGACGTCACTCGCAGACCTCAATGGAATTCTTGCGATTCTGGCTGTGCTAGTGAGTTAATTTTTTCGTCGATTTTAAATGTAGAAAAGGTGATTTTTGGTCTGTTCTCTCAGAAGAAATTAAGTGTTCTTGATCCTCGAGTATCCCAGAATTTGATGGTGGGGGAGTTAGGAGAGTATGACACAATTGACCTTAGACAAGGAAAGAGAGAGGACGCGTAACATCCTTTACCTGCACTAGCAGCTGGTTGTGACCGTTTGCCACCAAATAATGGCGACAATTTTTCATGGTGCCACTATGTGAATTTTACTTCAGACTAACATTTTTGTGATATTCAGCATGGTGGATTGCTAGCGTATGGCTGCAAAACCCGCAGAGAAAAAAAAGTCGACGGGATTACATTTAACAGGCAAAAAACAATATGCTTTCTAGGTTATGTTATGAAAAAAGCAGACATTTTTTGGTGGCAAACTGCTTCATTTTACCTGCTGTGTTACGAGTCCCCTCTCTTTCCTTGTCTAAGCAATTGACACATCACATAACCTAGCATACTCGAGTATGCTTGATTATCCTCGCGAACAATTGCCTATAATCTAAGAAACAAAGAAAAGTAACTAACACAACACAACATGGTAGATGATATCTAGATGGCATTAAATATCCACATTTTTTAGAATATTAAACAATAAAAAGATAAGAGTGCTAAAAATTTCAAAAAAGAGGGAGAAAAATGTAGTGGATTTTCCACGCCATTTTTTTCTCCTAGTGGATTTTAGTGGATTTAAATCTCTTTTCTAATGGATAGTCTTGGTTCAGAGTTGGCAACACTGAAATCAACCCAAATAACACCAAAATATAAGCTGCAAATCGCTTAGCGGACGCGTGAAACTGTGCTTGCGATAGATGTTTTCGGGTTCTCATTTTCCGAACTGTACGCGAACCATTCTGAAACTGCGCAAAAATACTTCTTATTCAGTCCTTAGGACTACTGTGCTCAAATTGTTTGTGGCACTGAGTACCGAGTCCAAGTCTGGCAGTGATAGGCGAACGCGATAATTGATGAAATAAATCATGAAGCTATTAACCCTTTTCACGTGGCTCCGGTTTAACAAACCGCAACATACCGCTCAAATTCGAGTGGTAAGTATCCATCACGTCACGTAACCGGGTTATGGCTAGTTGCACCAAGATTCCATTAATCTAAGCTTAATAAAACTGGGATTCAAAAATAAACCTCGATCATTCGACCTGACGTTGCATGGCACACAACTAAGCTCGGTTTGATTAAACTAGTAATTTATAGGAGTTTTTACGTTTAGGTTGGCAAACATGTTGAAAATTTGTCAAATGTGAAAGCAAAAATAGAAAATATAACCTAGAAAGCGAATTATTTTTTGTAAGTTTTTCCGAATCGAAGCAGTGACTGAACCCTTTTGTATTTTGTAGTTTTTTTCTGCTAATTCGCTTCATTTGAAAAAATAGATCCACTAATAGCACAAGTGAAACAGAGATGAGCCAATTTTACCAACAACGATAAAGCTCTCCTACTATACTAATTAATATTATGGCAAAATACAAGATCATTATTGAAAAAAAAAAAAAAAAAACTGATTCTCTCTATAGTTTTCTCTATTTTCGTAGCTAGCAAAGTTTCAAACATTCTACAGCTCTTGGACAAGAAGGCCCTGCACTGTTATACTTTATACTTCTGTATTATTTCCTTCCAAGTGTCTTGTTTTTCATTGCCGTATATTCTATTTTGCACAGATATTTCGATCGAGATTGATTATTGAATTTAAAAATCAAATATCTACCTACATAATAATAAATAATGAAATTCTTACAACATGAACATATGCCGTAAACAACGACAGACGGCATGTCATTTCACTTTGCGAATTTCCTTTCTACGCATTCAATTAGTAAAACTTCCCTTTAAACCATCAAACATGACCGTTTAAGTTGAACCAAGTTCAAATCAAATTAAACTTTGTTCAAGAAACGGTGCAATGGATTTCTTTGATTTAAACCAAGATTAATGTTAAACCAAGATCAGAAATTGTTGGTGCAACTACCCCAAGGATGATACACACTACTAAGGATGGCTTATCCTCATAAGGCCTGTGTGTAACAAATCCCCCCCTACCCCGCCTAGCCAAAAAATCAGTTGTGACGTAAACATCATGGCGTTTTTCGTCTTGACGTAGGCTGTTTGCACCACAGGTTATGTTATGATCTGGCTGCTGGCTGGAAATTATGGAACTAGTTTCTAGTATAATTAAAGTCTAAAATTATAAAATTATATCAGATACATATAATCATGACTTTTAATTATTACTGTTGTGTTCCTCAATGCAAGTCTTGGGCTAAAAAAAAAAGCTGACAAAGGATTGAGTTTCTACATATTTCCCCTTGAAACAGGCCCACGGGTTTATTTGGAAACGAAAATGGAAAAAGAAGTGTCGAGAAGAAAAGCCTTCTGGATTTTAAAACTTCGTATTGGCAAACCAGTCACCAAATTCATGAAAGTGTATTCTCTGCATCTCAATTAAGCAAGAATTTTGTGTTAAGGTAAACAAGCATAATGGATAGTTTTGTGCCCTAGCTTCATTTTATGCCTGCTTCTAGGCATTTATCAAGTACTATCTATTTTTAAAATGTTTTGTTTGAAAATATTGACTGTTTTTATTATTACAGGTGAGAGTACAGGTCTTAGGGCGGGTATTATAAAACTGCTTTGACAGTTAACTTAAAGTTAACTTTTTGAATTACATGTAATTCCAGAAGTTAACTTTAAGTTAACTCTCAAAGTAGTTTTATAATACCCACCCTTAGAGGTACAGGTAGAGGTCGGATATTGAAAAAAACAGTTGTACCATCCCAGAATTTGCCCTCTTCTATAGTGATCCATAAACCGAGCCAAAAAATAGATTCCATGGGTGCTGAAAAACTTGCCGAAAGAAAAAGAAATCAAGTTTCTAGTGAGACTGATACAAGTAATGAATGTAGTTATACTTTTAATCAATTATTAAACTCTTCTCAGATAGGCATACAAATGGCCGAGCAAACAGCAGAACGTGTAAAGTGTTTATTAAATCCTAATTACCAGTATTATATTATAGGCAGTTCGAGTAAAAATCAGATTTGTGGTCAAGTTATTTGACTTTGTTAATTTAATTTTCACCTATTTATAAATAAAAATAAAGAGTTATTTATAAAATGTTTATTTATTTATTACACATACAAGTTATTCAAATACAGACATTATAAGGGAGATCCATACCAGCCTTGAGACCCTTTTGGCAATGTCCTATTGTAGAAAGTTTACAAAAATATAAGAAAAAGATCCGGTTAGGCTGTTGTATAGATATAATCATTTCGGGTCAGATAAACGAAATAGATTATAATGAATTTTGGCCTGCATCATCACGAGCAGCATTATCGGTGAAAATTATTACCCAGTGTGAAACTTTCGAGAACAGTGAATAAATAAGTCGATATTGCATTTGCAGCACATTGTTCTTCCTCGGCTGCTACAGTTTTGACCACCACATCGTTTTTTTTACGTTCAGGAAAAGTGTTTCAATAATGATGCAGTCCATAATACCTTATATCATTATTGACTCAAAAATCACTTGCTGCAGCCCGAAGCATATTCTCCTGTAGCGCAAGGTGGTACTTTATATTTCCTCGGGTATGTCTGAAAATAAAAATAAGGTTAAAATTGTATGATTTCCCAAAAAATTGTTAATTCTACTCTACCTGTGATATATTTCCCATTCGAATAAACAATTTCTGCACTAGCACAAAAGTTGCCTAGTAGATAAGTCAAAACCACGTTCCTCATCTGCTGAATCTTAGTCAGTGAGCTCTTTGCTTTCTGTGTGGGCTCAATATATTATGCCATCAACATTTTCATTATCATAAGCAGTATTCAAAGCTTCCTGATGGCTAATTCCACAAACAAAATGTAACTAAGTACCTAAAAATCTTAGCTTCTGCCCAGGCCCATATGCCATATGGGACAGTAATATTTACAAGAATATAATACATAAACAAACAATTTATGCTCGAATAGGAATATGTTATAATAATATGAGAAAACCCTAAAAACAATTAAATAGTATAGAATAAATTATCTCATAGTTATTATACTTACATAAAGAAATGTAAACAAAACGCCGCGTAATTCTCCTAGGGCTCCATTAAATCATACATGCTGAAAACGTGTAAATAGGCGGAATGACGAAAGCTAGCCAGATATCGCGCTTTACCCGCTATAATGGTTAATCAAAATCAAAATAAAATATTTTTCATGACAAATTATAAATTTATAAAACCGCTGGCGCAAACAGCTGGCGACTTTGTCATGACGTCAGCAGTGGTTGGAAACAGTTGAAAACCAATATGGCGGCAATTACCCAAAAAGGGGCCGATAAGCACTCCTTAGTAAGTTTATTCTCCTTGCAACTACCCATTAGAAAACGGTATGTCATTTCTCTAACCGTTTTGTAACCCGGTTAGTTAAACCGGAGCCACGTGAAAAAAACTATTGTAATTCTTAGTGGGTTTTTTTTTTACCCAACAATTCCCCTGAAATTTTTGCCGCCCTTCGATTTTGCCGCCCCGTGCAGGGGCATAGGCTGCACGGGTCTGGAGCCGGCTCTGACTAAGGCCCGGTTGTACAACGGACGTTCAACCGAAGTTCACACTGACTAGTGGTTCAAAGGAAAAAACTCGTTGTACATGGTCGGTTCAGAGTGTGAACTGAGGTTGATCTTGAACGTCCGAATTTGGGCGTTCAAGGGGAGTTCAGGTCTTTTTTGGGTTTTTCTAACCTGACTCTCCTATGTTTTGTTTGTTTTTTGATAAGGGATCACCATGGCTTTTGAATATATATTTTTTTTCAAGTGGATATTCGTTATTTTATATTTAATTGAAAATGGATCTTGAGTGGGAACTGTGGGAAGATATTACAGATGAAGAAGATTTTTAAAAATAACTTAATTTTATGTTACATAGGTATAAATTATGTATACTTTCTCGAGCCCCACAGATATTCAGAAATCGAACAGCGAACATATCATTTGAACATTTGTAATGATAAAGAATAATTCAAGGACAGATTCAGTTTAGAGAAACAAGCAGTGTAATTTATCATAGATGAAATTATGCATCTGTGACCTGTCCGCTGTCCTGTGTGAAAAAAAATATGAAAATTAAAATTAAATAAATAGTAAACAAGAAAACACAAAAAATAAACAATGAATTTGATAGGTTATGGGTTGGGTTGCCCCTATTTTCTTTCTTCTTTTTATTGTGGGCATTGCAACTGATGGTTCAGGTAAACCGGCAGTGGTACAACACTCGAAACTCTGAACCACGTTCAACATTGAACGACGGTTCAACAGAACTTGTGTTGAACCATTCTTTGTACAACCGGGCCTAAGGGCCGTTTCCACCAACCATTTTAGGGGAGCCCTAACGATAAGTATTCCCTAAAATGACATTTTTACATGGAGAAATGTCAGTTTAAGGCATGGTGGAAATGGCCATAAACCTCCTATTGAAAGACAACAACCTTCAGTTTCCACTAAGTTACAAATGCCCGAAAACAATCCAATTAGGCAATCCAATCCATCTGTCAAAAAGGAAAATTCAGTTTGGCGTGTGGGGGCCAAGCAAGTTTGTTTTGAATATGTTTTTATGCGTATTTTAAATTGTTTTGCTTAGAGTTTCGCTTGCAGCTTTGATTTTCATTATTTAATAAAATATTTGTTGACTATGTACCTAAACTATTAAATCAAGCAGAAAGTAGATATTTTTTTGTGTTCCATCTTGAATGCCACGTGGTTTGGATTGCCTAATAACCAGCATGGAAACTAACCTTAAATTTTTTAAAAATATGTACCTACCTAGATCTATACACTTTTTTTCGGAAAATGTTCCATAAGTTTATTTTTATCAGACAGAGCCACTTTCCTTTCCCAAAACAATCAGAATGAAAATTTATCACACAATCATTTCAACATTATACTGCAAACAGATCCCATGGACTGTTTTTACTCTATAACGTTGGTCAATATTTGTTTTTATAATTTGTAAAAAAAATTCTATCCGAATAACCCTCGAACATTTATTTATAAATTCCTACTCGGAAAAAATTTCAACAATGTTCGAGTCACTGAATGTCCTTGAGTTCTATTACTACATATATCCGATCGATGGTCACGGAGGAAGCCACGCACGACCACTGATCGCACGACCGTCGGGCGACGGCGGAAAGATGTTCAGTAGTAGCGCGTCAGCGGTTACAGTTAGTTTTATCAGTATTCTCGAGGTAATAATAATTGTCGGCGGAAGAGCATTTTACGATTTCACCAGTTGCGCAGTGAGATTATTATTAAAATAAAGTGTGGCGTGTTTGTGTTTTTTTTTTTAACTTCTTTCCAATATGGAGTGTCAGAGAGATCGTCATCCAAGTCATAACGTTTGCTCGGCAAAAGGTTGCGGAAATAAAAGTTATTTATCCGGACACAGTTTCTTTAGATTTCCAAAGAATCCTGAAAGGTGAGTCATTAGACCATTGGAGTAAATTGATTCAACTACTAAGGAATGACGTAGATATTTGTCTGAAAAATTCAACCATAATAATTAAAAAAAAATATATATATTTTAGGGCAAGATCTTGGGCAGTGGCCTGTAATCGAGAAGATTTGTTACAAAAGCTACATCAGCTTCATGTGAGTCATCGCCTTTGTCAAATACATTTCGAAGACAAATTTTATGGTCCGTCGAAAAAGAAGCTCGTTAAGACAGCCGTGCCAACAATTTTCCCCAGTTTAGTCTCAGGTAAAAAAATTAATATTCTAGAGCAGATTGTGATTAAACCAGATTATTTCTACAAGATACAAATTAACGTTTCTGTTTTACTGGAACATGTAAGGGTATCAACATTGAGGTACGAATGAACAATAATAAATATATGTACCTATTTTGAAAATGAAAATAAATAATTTCGATGAAAAAGGCCGCCAACGTGTGTTATGTTTCGGTTATTGTCTCTTTCTGTATTCGTTTTGATTGTGTGTTTTTCTTGTGCTACCACCATGAGCATAGATAACCCCCCCTTTATGATAGTAGAATGCGAAAGTATGCTTTATATGGGGGGCAAAGTGTCACAAACTAAATTGTCATTGCATTAAAAACTAATATTTTGGAGACTGAGGTTATATGGCTAAGTTTCCAGCTGTCTGGAAAATAACCCGCCAACACAGATCTGCTGAAAATTTAGCTAAAACATGTGATACAATGAATGTATGGTTCTTTATGAGGATTATTGGAAGGCACAAGCTAACCCATTACCCACTGTTCAAGGATTCTATTTGTTTGGAAATCACGTATTTCAAATTCCTATTAAAATTAAAATTATTCTCTCAAAATAAAGAAATTTATAAAATTCTCCAAACTGCGTAGTATCCTAAAGGTACAAGTTAAAACCTGTTAAAATCACACTATTGGCATGATGATGCAACCTTTATCTTCAGATAAGGAGAGAAAGGCAGACGCCAGTAAGGGCGGGCAGTACCATTTCAGTGATCGAGAAGGGTTGTTGCCGTTTGCAGAACTCTAAACAGTCTCTTGTTTCTCGCACAAAATCAATAATTAATTTATCGTGGTACGAAATTGCTAGTTAATTGAGTGTTAGTTCCTCAGTTAAGCCTCTGGAGAATTATTCCAGGCTTTTATTTTACTCACATTTTCTCTGACTTCTATATTAGATATATATTTTCTACGAAGTCTTCAATCAAGTGTCTGCTTTAGCGACAAGTTTGTTCTGGTCTACAAGACAAGTAGAGTGGTTTTCTTTGCAATCACGGATTTTGTTGACAATTGTTCCTTTTGTGAATTGCAAAGCTTGTACAAAATTTATTATTATTAAAGTTATAACTATTAGTGAATAAGTGTAAGTGTTTTCTTTCTACTCCTTTCTTGGCTATAGGCCAAGTGGTCCTTCGAAGAATTTTTTGTGCGGAAGTAGTAGGTTTGCGAGCCGAACGTAGTGAGGCTTGCAATACTACTGAAGCACAAAAAAGTGCTTCTACTCCGTATGCAACACGCTATTTTTTCTCCAAACTAATGGGGTAAGCTCGGGAGAAAGTGAATGGTTGAGCGGCAGTAAAAGTACGAGCGGCATTAAAAGTACTTTTGCTGCCGCTGGGGTTGCCAAACACCATAGAAATTAAACTTCTACCACCTCGACAGGTGTTAACCCGCTGGATTTGCCTGGCAGCATAGAAATCAAAGGATAACGCACACGTAACATGGGATTTTTGGGCTCTATGGATTTTGCCCATTTTTTAATATGTTGTAGAGGATTTAATTCTGAACAACCTTTAAATGGGACGAAATCTTGTAGGTGTTACGGCCTGTGAGATATGAGCGTTGAAAGATGAACTTTTTTGCAACTTTTTGTGTGGAGAGTATACGAAAAACTGGTGTTTATCAATCAAAATTTTGAAAGGTCGACATATTTTACGTCACTAACAAATGTCAACATAAGCTAAGGCCGAGAACGCACTGGCGCCAACATTGACCGCAGTGCGGTCCCGGCCTTAATCTAAGTTGACATATGTGAAACTGTCAATATTTTGACTGATAAACACCAGTATCACCAGTATCTCGTATACTCTCCACACAAAAAAGTTCATCTCCCAACGCTCATATCTCAAAGACCGTAATACCTACAAGATTTCGTCTCATTTAAAGGTTGTTCAGAATTAAATCCTCTACAACATATCAAAAAATGGGCAAAATCCATAGAGCCCAAAAATCCCATGTTAGGTGTGCGTTATCCTTTCTGACATCTTGACAGGGGTTAACAAAGTGACTTTTTTTTGACGTTTGGAGAAAAATTAAATTATTCAATATTTCCGGAAAACATCTATTGACAACTGCTGTTCCTTTACCACCAGAACGTTATGGTAAGTTACATCTAGAGCTGCTGTTTTAATCGAATATAAATTGAGTGATAATTATATAACATAGAACATATCCCCTCTAGAGAAATTTCTCAAATGGGAGAATCGCGACGAAGGTTTTTAGTTAGGTTTTTAGTCAACGATGGCGACGCTACTGTGGGGAGATAAGAAAAATTTGCAGGTATCTGTGGTGTGGAAAGTGATTTGTGTTGGTTGGTTTTGTCAATTTTGTCATATTGAAACATAGAAATAGAACATTCACTGGATTCATCCCCTCCACTTTTTGTTTTAGTTCGTGACTACACCGCTGTGCGCCCATATCGCCGTTTCTAAACGTCCCCCTCGTTCTTATTCTAATCTCTGACTTCACCGATGAGTTAGCTATCTTTGTTTAGTGAATAGAAAATGACAATGACCGACATAGAATCGTGTAGGTATATAAAAACCAGTCATAAAAACGCAGGTGTCAATTTAACATCATAATGCAAATGTCATTTGGTCGTCTGAATTAATTTGTTGAGTGCATCGTCGTTGATTGTTTTGAATTCCAAGACTGTGAAAGAAGTGATAGTTCTAGTACGCTTTCCGGACACACGATTTTTACCACTTTTTTAATTTTATCAAATAGAGGGCTAATATAGTATTTTAGAAAAGAAAAAAATTTTGAATATTCAGCCAATTTTGAGAAAAACGGACCTTTTTCAGTGTAATTATCAAAATAAATTAAAAAGCAGCATTGTTGTTAGATTTTTTGATTTGCTCAATAATTATTACCCAATTTATTACCTATTGTATAGTGCAAATTTGAGCACAGAATATTGTATTGTATTGAGGGAAATTTTTTTGGGTTATGTTCTTGAACTGCTATAGCGATATTAATAGTCCCCAGTACATCAACCCTAAAATTTTGTAACTCATGTACACGCCAAACTTCCTGAGCGGCTTCATAACACCAAGTCGGACAATATTTTTCATATCTCCATCCTGGGGGATGGGACATTGCCGCGCTAGCTCTTCGTGAAGCTGTCGTTCTGACGTCCCTAAGGAAGTTGATACATGTACGTGTAGTTTCAATGCCAATCGACTGTTTTTTATATTACATTAACGATATAAACTTTGTCGGAAAAAAACCAGTGGCTTTGGGGAAGGTCCGACGCTCTCAACATGTCGCTGTGGCGTCCCTGAGGAAGTTGATACATGTACGTGTGGTTTTGATGCCAATCGACTGTTTTCTATGTTACATTATTGATATCACATAGGTCGGACAAAAATCACGTGGCTTTGGGGTGGTCCGACGCCCCCAACATGTCGCTGTGGCGTCCCTAAGGAAGTTGATACATGTATGTCCGACAAAAATAATTATGAATAACAATGTAATTTTAAAACATGTGTAGTAAATGTCGGACAAATAAAATGAGTATTAAAGTCAGTCGGACAACAAAAGTCCTTTTGATCAATTTCTGCCCAAATTCAGGATCTTCACTCCTGAGATTGCACAAAAAACACGACTGAATATCCATTCTTTGTCACACGCATGGTTTTGAATGACCGTTCACTAAATAATTTCCGTAAATACTCGAAGAACTATCAAAAAAACAGATCAGGGAATATGACACAGGGCACCACAGGTATTTGACAAAGTAGGTAAATAATAAACTGACTAATATGCACGTTGCGTTAAGGCAAACTAATTTTAATTTTTTCATTGATTGTATCAAATTTCTTGTCGGACAAATGTGATTTCGTTAATGTAATGTAACAAATTGTCGATTGGTATTAAAAACACAAGTACATGTAATAAATTCCTTAGGGACGCCACAGCGACATGTTGAGAGCGTCGGACCCCCTCGAAGCCACGTGATTTTTGTCCGACATATTTATTTATTTATTTATTTATTTATGGTTCACATTACAAACACCGATGAGGTAATTATAGGTAATGGTTAAAAACAACTTAACAAGAAAAAAAAAAACTATACTATACTAGACCAAAATTAAACTAAACAAACAGACATTCACAGCACTAGGATTTACTTATATCATCTGTAATTCTCTGATACTTGCGAAAAATATATCTATGTTGACTCGGGCGAGTACTCTATTGCATATTAATAACATTGTATTTATGGGTGATGTACTGACTAGATCTACACTAAAAAGCTCGTAGTTTAAGTTTCTTAAATTAATTTTAGGAACGTTAATGTGTATATATTTAGTTAAATCACAGTCTTTATACTTTATATAATTCAGAAGGTAGAATACAAATATCACAGCCTGTTTATCTCTTCTATCCTGCAAACTCTGAAACCCAAAGCCCTCAAGCATGCTTCTATATGAAACCATATAAGGATATATGTTATTTTTCCTGACATAAAGGTATCTCAAGAACCTCTTTTGAACTTTTTCTATATGGTCCACATGCGTGTGGGCTGTGGGCATCCAAACCTGGGCAGCATATTCTAGATGTGGTCTCACTAGAGCATGATAAAGTCTAACAATCGTTCCCAACTCAAAGGACTTTCCATTTCTGATAATGAATCCCAAAGATTTATAAGCCCTATTGACCATTCCAATAAAATGGGAATTGAATCTCACATCGCTCCGAAAGACAACTCCCAAATCTTTGATTTCACTCTTTCGTTCTAAATTGACCCCATTAATAGCATAGTCATACCCAATAATGTTGTTTTTTCGTGAGAAAGTCATGACTGAGCACTTTTTCACATTTAATGACATTTTGTTCTCCCTAAACCAACAATTGACATCATCCACATCCCCCTGGAGCAAGAAGCAATCCTGAGGTGAAGATATTTCCTTGAAAAATTTGAAATCATCCGCAAAAAGCAGTCCCGATGACTCAGTAAGGCAGCCAGGGAGGGGGTTAATGAACAAAGCAAACAACAGTGGGCCTAAGGTGCTACCCTGAGGCACTCCTGAGGTGGCCACGTACTTGCTTGAGGTAGTCTTGCCTATCTTTACC